GGTGTTCAAGAGCATTATCTTCTAGGTTAACATAGTACTAAATAACATCTTTAAGGGTAAGAGAGTAAACAGAGTTAGCAGCATAAAAAAAAAATGAGATTCAACATCACTCCAAAACTTTTTAGATATATCACAATAAAAAAACAGATGTGAAATTGTTTCTGTATTAAGATTACAAAAAGCACAGGAATCATCAACATCTATAAACTTAGCAATAATACTACTAACTGGGTAAAATGCATAATAATTTATACAATTTTAAATTTTAGCCTTGTTAGATATGCAATATTTATGGGGTAGAAGCCAAGCTCTTCTCCAGTTTATGTCTTCTATTTGGGACCTCCAGTAAAACTTGCCTCTAGGCACAACTCTATTCATTCTTTAAAAACACTGGCGAGTATGTTTATTATTACACTTTCTATCTGTTAGTTCAATTCCACTCGGCATCAGTACAGTTTGACTTGTTTTATATTCACTGTAACTCAAGTGGCTTTTTATAAGTTGAATTAACTCTATTGGGATAGCACGAGTTACAGATATAAATTCTCTGGAGGGAACAGGAAAACTGTGTACAGACATAAAACGTTCATAAGACAACATATTACCAGCATTATCAAAAAGATCAAGGATATGGATGATACCTCTTTCAAACCATTTTAGCAAGAATAAGGATTTGTTTCTTATAAGAATATTGCCAGTATTCCAGAGGAAAGCCTTGTGGGGTGAGAAATTGTGGACAAAAGCCAGCTTCCATGCTAGGAGAGTTTGTTGATGAAATTTTGAGTTTGATTGGTAATCTATTAGGTGAAAAATTACATTTTAAAAGAAAGGAAAGACCTCCAATTTTATTAAAGATGTAGTTTGGGATGAAAAACCTGATAGAGTCAGGGTTTCTGAGACACTTTCTCAACCAGTTAACCTTAAAGGTATTGACAGTGTCGATAAAATCTAGGACTTCAAGACCTCCTTTTGCCTTACTGTTGGAGAGTACACATTTCTTGAGTTTATGCGATTTATTTTTCCAGATGAAGTCAAAAGGTTAAGACTGTACATCAGATCTGTTTTTAACTTGTGTTTTTCACTCTTTAGTTCTTTACTTCTTTTGATAGCTATATACCTGACTTTATCTTTGAAGAATTCCCATTTTTTCCTATAATTATCATTAAGGCTATCATTAAGAATATCTTATACAAGCTTTTTAACGGCATTATTGAAAGACACATCTTTTAGAAGAGAATTATTGAATTTCCAATAACCTCGCATACCAAAGGTTTCCTGCTTAGAAGCTAGCTTCAGAATGATTTGCTTATGATCCGATAAGGGGGCATATAGATGGCTAACATATTTTACATATTGAAGGGAAGAAGATGAAATTAGAAATAAGTCAATTCTAGATTCTATGGATAATCCTCTATTACACCAGGTGAATTATTTTGTAGAGGGATTAAAAAAAACGCCATGCATCAGTCAAGGAGAGAAGTTTGATTTAATCTAGGAGGGTATCTATCTATCATATCATGTGGACATTCATTAAAGTCACCACACAAAATTATATGTGAACCATTGTATTTCTTGTGCAGTTCTGTCAGTTTTGCTATTATTTCATTAAATAAAATCTTGTTGGAGGCATGAGAATTAAACCCATATATATTGCAAACCATGAAGATAGCATTGTCTTGTTTAATTATTAGTGCAATCCACCTACCATTATCAGAAGGCACTGTTTCAAGAACATCCCCTTTAAACTTGTGTAGAAAAATTAGCACCCCAGCTGAGTGATTAGTACCATGACTAAAGTGAACTACCCCATCGTATTTTCCAAAACTTTGTATCTGACTCGCAAGAATGTGTTTCCTGAAGTAAAATTAAGTCAGCCTCAGTTCTCCTGCAAAGCAAAAAAATCACTTTTCTCTTAGGGATGTCCCTAATACCACTGACATTTAGCGACATGACATTAAGAGAGTTAAACTTAAAATCCATAAGACAGAAAAATAGGAGAGAAATAAAAAAAGTATACCTTTAAACAATTAGACACTGAAGAAACCTTGGAATGTGCTGAAGAAAATCCACCAGAAGTGAGGTGGTGATTAACAACCGTTTCAATCAATCAATCAATCAACTTTTATTTCCAGACTCATGGTCCAATAAATACACATACCAATACAAACAACAACAGGACAATTAAAAAAGGCAATGATACCAGTGTTTCCACATGGATGACTGGTATCACAACATGCGGCGCTGCCTATAGATGATCACTCAACAAATCAAAACATTTGAATCTGTGGATGATTGTCCTAGATCAAGTTAGCGTTATTTCCACAGTTAAAAATTGCCTGCCCAGGTAACAAAGAGGACACAGTCGTAACCATTTATCTCCTCTTGTGTCTTTCAAGATCAGCACAAACCAACACTAATTTTGTATATGATTCTAAGCATGCAAATTTGACAGACAATCACCAGTACATATGTCACATCCTCCTTGAAAAACCCAGCCAACTGCTAGGAGAAAAGATACGCTAAATCATCGGCCATACATCCACAGCGTGGATTTACCAGGGTGGTTTCCAACCATCGCGGCTCAGCTGTCTTTACTGGCTCTTAGATTGTCACGGATAATCACAGTCACAAAAAATAATTAAACAAGGGCAGGTAGAGAACCCCCCTGACCCAACCCCATTACCCACCCGCCCAAATGGTAGAGGACGCATTCCCCCCCACCTTGACTGCATGCTCTGGTTTAAGCATAAAGAGTATGGCCAAGGACCTACAATTCACTGCTATTTGGGCAGCACCTCTTTGGCGGAGCTTTGAAAACAACTTAAAATGATTGACCCCCCTTCCAAAAGCCCCCTGTGAGCATCAATAAAAGCCAAAATAATAACTGAAGAATTCTGTCTTCACTACCACGCTTCCAACACTTCCTTCAGGCGGGGCATAGAACACTAAAGATCAGGTAAGCCATGCTAGCCTTTGAAGCCAAAAAACGTTGTTGGTCTGTGTACCTCAAAGTAAAAAACGTAAAAAAAAGTCTGAGTCTAATAAAATCTTTCGCAAGGAAACCTTTGGATAACACCACCTGCTAAAGCAACTTGGTCTATAGCTTACCAGCTCCACCGTGCGGCCAGGCTTCTGTCCTTGACTGACAGGCACCACCAGGTAATACGAGGCCCAACCAATGGGAAAGTGCCGCAATAGAACGCAATGAGTCATGAAAGCCTGTAAGCAGACATTGGCAAAAAAGAAGCCCAGCCCTCCCCCCGGAACCTTGCAAAATCTGAGGTGCTCTGCACGTGACTGATCGAAGCACTTGCTTAGTTATCAGCTAGCTGTGTCAATGCTTGTTTGGCAAGCCTCCCTAACCAATGCTCGATTCCCAACTGTCCACTGTTGGCAAACGTGCCCCCACTTTGTAAAAGATTATTTTTAACGGCAACTGAATAGCTCAAACCAATGTTGCTCGCACACATTTACAAGGCCCACCCAAAGAAAGGTAAAGTAATTCTGTACATAACTATCAATGAAACTTGAGACTAGAGTAAAGAAGTTTCAAGCATAGCCCAGAAAATCTATAAAGTTATAGGAATTCTTAACATTATGAAAATATATTAAATGTAAAAGTGGAAATTAAATTCATAACCCGAAAATACTGCTCAAAGGAAAAAGATACTTCAATATAAAGAAACCTGGGCAATATCTCCCCCAATCTATCAGGGTGCCCCATTAGAATGCAATGGTTAAATGCAACCATTGATAAGCTGTCGGTCCGGTGGCTTGTGTTGTAAAGTCTTGCTACAGCCGCGAGTGCGATGATCGTCCCACACGCGACCCCTACCGCGTAAAAGGCACGTGGTGGGAATGTATAAACGAATAAGCCAACACATGGCGTGCCAAACCCGTCTGGGCCCAAAATAGGTCGGGCAACCCCTACCGCAAGCAGTGCGACGTCTCGGTGGCAATGGAAATCTGAGTTCCACCATGCCCGCCAGGTTTGGCAGCCAACCCTGTGTACAGCTAAGCTCCCGCCTCCCCTTTCCGTTTCCCACCGAGGCATAGTTAGTTAGTTAGTTAGTGAGTACCGAAAAACAGGAACAATGGAAACGAGTTCGAGGGCAGCATACTTGTACCGCTATGCCCTCCCTCTTTTTCCCAACATTACATCGGGCGATTCGTCGCCCATGAATCTGACATCCTGGTTACTCCCAGGAAGGATCGTACACGATGCCTGTAAGAGGCCGCAACTGTTGCTGAAGCCGGTAGCCAAAACGTACTGTCCGGGACGTTAGCCACGTTCCAGTGAAGCAACAGCAAAAAACCGGCACCTCCCCTGTAGAATTTTAAGATTTTTCACCAGCGCAGCCAGTTTGTCGATCTTATTAAACATCTCTTCAATGGAGAAAAAGCCTTCAGGGCCGTTCTTTGCTCTTCTTTCAATGAATAAATACTATCCAGTTCTAATATAACTGATGCTAGCAGCATCTACGCTAACCGCTTTAGCAGCCGCCATTGTTGTTTTTAAGCAGTCACTTTTCACACACATCGTTACACACACCACTCCCATAGCTGCCAGTGGTTCCTCATAGACTGCTGTTTTACAAGTTCAGCTGCCTCACAAGGTTACAATAAAAACTACTGCTATAAAGGGGGATTCACAAAAAATCATACAAATTAAATGCATGAAAATAACCACACCTACTTGAATTAAATGCAACCATGCAATTGATACATACATGTGCATATACACTTGCATCAAATTTACTTCTGCTATCTTTAATGTCGCGTTATTGTATCTGTCTGTGTTGGTGATTGCTGCAATCTGTTTGTCTGAAAATTGGAAAATCAATACTTAAGTGTTTGCATTTCCTTCGCAGGATGCAGTTCAGGCAGCAGACCGAGCCAGTAAATACAAAGAGGAGAATCGTCAAATCCTCAAAGAGAGCATCGAGGTCGCTCCCTTCACTGCTAAGATCCAGCGCTCCAGTGACCCAGGGATGGACAGGGACAGAGAGAGAAGTAGGGACCCAGCCTTCCCTGTCCGGATACCGGCTCTCGCATCCCCAAGCCCCAAGGCCGGCCACACCCATCCCCATGTCATCCAGTCAGAAAAGAGCAATTATTTCACCACACTGTCCAACAGTGTAGTAAACGAGCCTCCAAGACTTTACCCTTCCAAGGAGCTCAGCTCTTATTATGAGAAAGTGTCCACTGGAGGTCCAGGGGTTGTGGCCGGTGTCGGGGCCTCTGTGCCAAGCCAGGGGGCTCTGTCCCTGGGCAGCTACAGCTCCAAAGCCTCTCTCTCCAAGCCCCCTCCCCTCATTAAGCACCAGCCAGAGGGGGGAGAGGGTTTAGCAGGGAAAATCACAGAGCAGCTCAGCCAGCAGGTGACACTAGTCCAACAGCAACATCAGCACCATGCAGGTATGGACAGGATAGAACGCCGCAGCCCTGCCATTTCTCCTTCATCCTCTTCCTCTTCCTCTTTCTCCTCAGCCCCCAACCACCATCATCATCACCACCACCATCAACAGCAGCAACAACACCAGCTCAGGGCAATGCCATCTCTCCACCGAGCGCCTGTCTTCCATCCACCCACACAGCACGCACTGGAGCGCAAAGAGGCTGCAGAGCGGGAGAAGGAAAGAGAACGAGAGAGGGAGAGAGCAGGTTATGGACGCCTGTCTCCACCCACACTCACACCCATCCAGCCAGTTAGCTTAGCAGCAGCTGGTAGCAAGACATTAGCAGAGCAGCAGAAGCCCCCCACACTGCTGCCAGAACTCAGGGACATCAAAGGTCATGGAAACACTGCCGCTGTCACCTCTGGGGCCTCGGCCATCAGTGGGGAGATTATGACTTCATCTGCAGATGGTTGGAGAGGTATGATTCAGGAAAGAGGAGGCTCATTCTCTGGAGAGAAAGGAGCGCCAAGGGACAAGCCTCAATCCGCAATGGCATCAGTCATTGTACGTCCATCGTCATCTATTAAGTATGATAGTCCGGTTGGTGCTAACAAATATGGTGCTATGATCCATAAGGAGTTTCCCCAAGGAGGGTTCTACCCCTCCAAGGTTCAGGGGGAATGTAGACTAGGGGAGAGTGTTAGAGAACCTGGAGCTGGCAGGGTTATCCAACCCAACTCCAACCTGGATGACATGTGTGTCCAGTATAAAAAGACTATGCGTGGCATGCAGGGAACTATAGGAGCCGGTACCATAAACTCTGTGTGCAGGACAGCCGTTTCAGCTTTTGGCATACAGATTAAAAGTGGGACATCCATCCCTGAGCTGGGCTACTCAGTCTCAGCACGAGGAGAGATTTCAGCCCATAAAACTGGCATTGGTGGCAGGGTACTGAGCCACTTAGGACCAGGAGAGCACCAGGAGGGATTAGGCTCACGCACCATATCTCCAAGTGGGTCTCTGCCTCCCCCTAGTCCAGCAGGGACACCCCAGCCCAGTCCATGCCTCACCCCAACACCTAGCTCCATTTCAGGCTCCAACCAGCCTTACTCCTCCTCTTTTGTCCACCTTAAGAAGCACAAAGCTGCATTGGCCGCAGCCCAGTCCAGAAGCAACTTCTCCACTGCTCGCACATCCATCGCAGCTGGAAACTCCTCCCTTACTGTGGATTCAGTTGACAAAACTCCCATTCACAACTCGCCCCCACCACCCTCCTCCAGCCAAGCCTCATCATCCTCAGTTGACAGCGGTAACAGCAGCTCGGCAAGCGGGAGCACAACACCAGGAAAGTCCAGTCCCCTGCCTAACGGCCATACCTCTGGTTCAGCCTCTGCGAGCAGCGGGCAGCCTAATAACTACCACAAGCTGAAGAAAGCCTGGTTAACCCGGCACTCAGAGGAGGACAGGAACACAACTGCTACTCTGAGCTCCACTAGTTCTAAACCAGAGAGAGTACTTAGCACCACCACTAGCACAAGTAACACAGCAGCCATGTCAGATATGATCAAGCCCTGCACAGTCAATCTCAGCGCCTCCACTTCCAGTGAGGTGGAGATGAGCAAAGACAGTGGAAGCAAAGCTGAGAGAGAGAGGCACCCAGAGGAGAAAGTGGGAGGAGCAGCAGGAGGAGGGGAGGAGAGGAAAACAGCACCTTCATCAAGACGAGGGAACAAACGAACATATGAGTCTGGTTCGGAGAGTGTGGGAGATGACTCTGACGCCAGTGAGAGCAAAATGGAGGGCCGAGCTAAGCGTCAGCCTAAACCAACCTACAAGAAAAAACAGAATGATATGGCCAAGAAGAAAGGAGACAATGAAAAGGAGGAAGATGACGTAAAACCCAATGGCATCTTCAGATCAGCTCGAGAGAAGACTAAACTCAAGCTGGCCAGCAGCAGTAAGTCTTATTTAACACATTTACTGTAGCACTAAGAATCGCTTTTAAATTGTCTCCCCAGCAGCCTTGTCTCCCCAGCAGCAGCATTGAGAGAGAGAATGTGTGTTTGTTTTGTTTTTTTCAACATTTGACCTGATGCAGGGGTCAAATATGTGTTTTATTTGGACGACAAGCTCTGTTTGAAGCAATCAGTTAATATTTATTGCTTGTGAAGCAAAGCAAAGAACCAGCTTATTTATTGAGACCTCCCTATGGTAATGAGCATTTTTTTTATCAATCCCATAATAAAATGTAGTTACTGGTAATGACTTAATAATGGGCACACTTCTCAGATGGGATCCCCCGCTCTGTCCTGAAGGACTGGAGGAAGGTGAAGAAGCTGAAGCAGACGGGAGAATCTTTCCTGCAGGATGACTCGTGTTCAGAAATAGGACCCAACCTGCAGAAGTGTCGGGAGTGCAGGGTGGTCCGCAACAAGAAGGGCGAGGAGCCGGCACATTCCCCCGTCTTCTGTCGCTTCTACTATTTCAGACGGTAAAACTCTCACATTAAATTTGTTTCCATTCTCCTTACAGTTTCCTTTACTGTAACTGCTGGACATGACTACATTGGGAATTGCACCTACATGCAGTGTTCTTAAAGATTCTGTGGGATCCTGAAACCCCACATAAATGCTACTACAATAATTCAGTTCAATTCAGTTTTATTTGTATAGCGCCAAATTATAACAGAATTTATCTCAGAACACTTTTCAAAATAGAGCAGGTCTAGACCGAACTCCCTAACTCCTAAAATTATTTACAGAGACCCAACAGTTCCCACCATGAGCAAGCACTTGGCGCCGTCCACATTGAACACACACACACACAACCACACACCCACATTAGATAAGCAGCAACAGCAGCTGCAGTCTGGGGTCTAACAGGGTAAATCTGCTAAAGAGGATTTTCTGCTCTATAATCTTTTCCTCGCTGCAGAACTGCTGCTGCTGCCATCTTTCTCTGTTTCCCTATCCCCTTCTCCGCAAATCCATTTCTTTCATTGCTCTCTCACACTCTCACCACATCTCACCTCCTCCCTGTCTGACCCAGTAAACTGGGATTTCATATATATTCACCTGAGCTGACTGGGTTGTTTAAGGACACCATAGACAGTGGGGGTTTACAGAGAGATGGCTCATCTAGAAAACCATCCTCTTATTTATACAACATATGAATGCATATACCCTACTATTTGACACATGAGTGTTGTACTGGTGAGAATTACAAAGTAACAGTTCACCGTAGGAATCCTTTAGCTGCTGTAATGTAAGTGTTTGAATGTGCAGCAGCAAGGATTGTTTAAACTGTTCGCACTCTTTGTGACTTCCAATAGCGGCAAGATTTTAATTTCTTAATTTCTTTCCCCCCGTCACATCTCCCCACAAAAATGTACATTTTTCTGGTGTTTGCACTTTAGTCCATTTTTTTGTCAGATATTAATCTGACAACTTCATAGTGGTGATGTGAGTGGATAACTTAGCAGCCACACCCAGAACTTAGTGATTACTTTTTATCTCACTTTCTGACAGCAGAATATGTTAGTTACTAGCTGGATTTACAATGAGGTGTGTGGCAATATTAGCTTTTTTAATTTAGCAGCACTGCGAGTTCTTCCCTAGTCCAATTGCGATTTAAACAGTGCTTTCAGTGGTCTCTGTCATGCTGTTCAAGTCCAAGTTAATCAATTTATTATCCGGATGTCCCCAATGGAAGATGTTGATTATCACAGATCTACTTTTGATACACTTACCGGACTGGTGCTAGTGACCTGTTTCCTTCCATCCAGGCTTTCCTACAGTAAAAATGGAGTCATCCGGATGGATGGTTTCTCCACTCCAGACCAGTTTGATGATGAAGCCCTGGCCCTGTGGGTCCCTGGGGTGATGGAGGAGAGCCACCTGGATCAAACCACAGCCAAGTACATCCTCAGCTTCATAGGAGACAAGTTCTGTCAGATGTCTGTGACTGAAAATACTGCAGCTACCTGGGTCAAGAAGGATGGTAAGTTGTATTTAAATGTCGTTGGCTGATGTTTTGATTAAATAACCCTAACCATGTTTTTACAGTGATGTCATTTTTTGCGTGTTTCAGCCAAGCTTGCGTGGAAGAGAGCAGTGAGGGGGGTGAGGGAGATGTGTGATGCCTGCGAGGCAACACTCTTCAATATCCACTGGGTCTGTCAGAAATGTGGTTTTGTTGTCTGCTTGGACTGCTACAAGGCGAAGGAAAGAAGGAGCTCCAAAGGTTAGTTGTGTGTATGTTTTGACAGTTAGACAAACATTCTCCTAACAAGGATTCTCGCATATCACAGAAATAATACAATTTCCTGCTTAACCTTGCTCCAAATAACATGGTTGTGCATGTGTGCATTAGTGTATGCAAGCTTCTTCTGTTAATCAGTTAAATCATTTACTAAAAGTAAAAAAAACGTTGATTTGAATTTAAACGTCCCGTGTGTAACATTTAGGAGGCTCTATTGTTATTGTCTATACGTTATTATACACTAATGAAAACATATCTATGAATGTTATATTGAAATTCTGCCAATAGATCCTTCTTAATGTTACACACGGGACCTTTAAGTGGAAATATATGGATAAAAGGAAAATAAAACTATGGACTGTGACATTAAAACTGTGCATAATGTAAGTAGTAAAGCAGAAAATGTTCTCTACTTAATATTAAGCGGAGTCTTTGGTGCCAAGACAATTATCAGTCATTCTTAACAACATACATATCCAGGGGGAAACACACCCAATGTGTATTTGACAATCATCAATCATCATACATATCATCATACATATACATATATAGGTATGTTTTCATTAGTGTATAATTACCTGAATATAGTAATTGTTTTCGTTACCTTAGCACTACAGTTCTACAGGCCTTTTGTGAATTCCACCATGTTAAACCGCCATTTTTCTACAGTAGCCCAGATAGGACAAACCTAACACTGGTTCTAGACAGGGGCGTTCACGTTTTTCTTGGTGGGTATTATTACAGCAACTTACGTGTGTGTGTGTGTGTGTCTCTCTCTCTGTGATCAGATAAAGAACTATATGGTTGGCTGAAGTGTGTGAAAGGCCAACCCCACGATCACAAACACCTGATGCCAACACAGATCATACCTGGCACAGGTACAGTACACACTACACTCTCTATGTCTTACTGTTTACAATGTGTCTGCATTCCAAGGCCCTCATTATCTTCTCCTACTGTAGCTGCTTTGTCTAGTAGAGTGTGTGGCTGATGTGGGTTAAAGATTGATTGATATTTTTGGACTTTTGTGTCATGTAGTTTGGGTATTAATTACTGACTGTATTATGTTACATTTTATTAATAATGATAAAAACAATCTTTATTGTCAAATGTGGAAATTAGCCTGGCTTCACATGTTGTTTAAAACACATATACAAACAATAATAAATGTAAATAAAACACAACATGCACAGTACAGACAACAATAACAGACATGGTTCAAGTGTAAGAGGTGCATTTGGTATGAAGACTTTGTTCTACTCCTCCTAATTTTACTTTCTTGAAATGTTTCAATTCTGCTGCATGTTTTCAGTGCTGACAGAGTTAGTGACTTCCATGCACTCTCTGAGAGAAAAATACAACATCAGATCGCACTGCCCCTGCACCAACAAACAGAACCTCCTTACCAAACTACCAGCCACCAACGGAGTCTCACAGGTACTGTTTCAGCTCCTGGGCTGGAATACTGTGTCTCACAATTATTGTTGTTTTTATAATGTACTAATATATTGTTTACAATTCCCTGTAAATGCTGCCATAGACACCCTAATGTTGATTTGTAGAGGGGCCACAGCGGACGCTATTAAAGTGATACTAGGTCCTAAATAGAACAAATGGCAGGTTGTTTCAATTTTAGCCTTTTAGTCAACCAACAGGGCAAAACTGACAATCAAAAGAGTAATCCTAAAATGCACCAGAAATAACTTTTAATGAATAACCTTTTATTTATTTGCTCTTCGCTCTTAAAGTTCATGATAAGCACCTGTGTCATCGTGGTATAATTGTAAGAGTGGACTGTTTCAATGAGCACCACCTGGCTTAGATGCCTTCCAGAGGCTACCTGGTGGTTATGAATGCACACAACCACTACTTAGAAGTTATAGATTCAGCCTTTTATTAAGTTTGAACTGCATCACTGTTTAGAAAGCCTTTTTCACCCTCTCTGTCTGATTTTCTTTTACAAAGGCGCAAATGCCAATTTTTACAATAGGCTGACCCTGTTGGTGTTGTGCTAAGATTTCATTCTAACCTTTCTCTGCCAGGTCCTGCAGAATGTCCTGAACCACAGTAACAAGCTGTCCCTGGTGAAAACTGAGCTGGGCTCTCAGCAGAACTCTGACCAAGGAGGAACCAAGGCAGAAACTAACGGAGGAGGTGGCAGAGGAAGCAGTCCTGGCAGCGATGCAGGAAGTGCTCCTGTCACCCCACCAGAGTCCCAGTCACCTCTACACTTCCTGGCTGACTTGGCAGAGCAGAAATCCAGGGAGGAGAAAAAAGGTGAGGGAAAGGGGATTGTGCTGTTTTCTTGAATAGAATAAGTACAGTTGCAATCATTCAGTCAATGCTTCTTTCCTCTTTTCTATTTCCTCCAAAAGATCCTGTTCTCTTTTGTGTATTTTACCTGCAGAAAATGTGTCTGTGATTAGTAACCACTTTCCCCTCCTCCTCTTTCAGAAAACAAGGAGTTATTGCTGCTGGGTAAATCAGTAAAGGAAGACAAGGATGGGGACAGCCTGGAGGTCCTGCAGCAGTGTAAAACCACCTCACTGGTGGCTAACAGTACAGAGCAGGGCTCCACACTCAGAGATCTGCTCACCACCACAGCAGGGAAGCTGAAGCTGGGCTCCACTGATGCAGGAATCGCCTTTGCACCAGTCTACTCTAATGCTTCACAGGTAAACAGATTGATCTATGATGTAATCAAGGGTCAAACATTATTGGATGTATAATATATAATAATTAAAATATTATAATATTAAAAATATTATTACCTGTTGTACCACTTTGTTTTGTCGATGCCAACTAATTGACAAAGAAATCTGGTTTAAAATACTAAAGTCCTGTTTTTCTCTTTTCTCTTTTCTTCCTAAAGACTGGAAAAGGTGGGCGGACAATGCCTAATATCCTCGATGACATCATAGCCTCAGTAGTTGAGAATAAAATCCCCGCCAGCCGCCAGAACATCAACACCAAACTGTCAATCAAACAAGAGCCTGTCACCCCAGGCAACAACAACAACAACCCTGCCCCTGCTGTTACAGAGGACACCAAACCAGACAGGAAGAAGTCAGGGCCTGTTACTGCAGAAGTACCAGAAGAATCAACCAATCAGTATCCAGATATTTCCCACTGCTGGTTGAACAACAAACGCTTACTGTGGCTCAAAGATCACCGCAACCAGAACAACTGGAAGCTGTTCAGAGAGTGCTGGAAACAAGGACAGGTACACAGCAGTCTAGTAAGCAGTCATAGTAAGAGTGCTGTACTAAGAGTAGTTAGTGACAATAACGTTGATATGAATGGTTCTGTGTTTGTCCAGCCTGTGTTAGTGTCAGGAATCCATAAGCGACTGAATGCCAGTCTGTGGAAAGCCGAATCCTTCAACCAGGAGTTTGCAGACCACCAGGGAGACCTCCTCAACTGTAAAGACCAGGTGGTGTCCAACTCCGGGATCAAGGAGTTCTGGGATGGATTTGAGGACATCACCAGTGAGTTCATCATCACTTGGTTTCATTGATTGATTAGATAGCTGCTTAGACACATCACCATGAACTACTGAGAAAGCGGTGATGTAAGATTATTCAGTCTAACTAAAATCTTCTGACCTGTTTAGAGCGGCCCAAGTCCAAGGATGGAGAGCCCATGGTCTACAGACTGAAGGACTGGCCTTCTGGAGAGGAGTTCATGGCCCTCATGCCCTCAAGGTACACACACTTCACCTCTTTGTCACTACATTAGTCCTGTGCTGTTTAATCTCAAGCTTTACAATCCAAAATATAAATGCAAACCTCATTTTCTAAAAATGATAATTCAAATGTGTTTCATAAGCACACGTCTGAAGATGCATTATAAGCTTATTATCTAAAAGAAGTGTTTTTGCAGATATGATGACTTGATGAAGAACCTGCCCCTGCCTGAGTACTCAGATCCAGAGGGCAACCTCAACCTGGCCTCCCACCTACCGTCTTTCTTTGTCAGGCCAGATCTTGGGCCAAGACTATGCTGTGCCTACGGTAGGAAGGAAATTCCTAAAGGGAAATAGAAATCATTCCATGTCGCCTGAAAACATTAGTCTTTTGATCTTAATTATTTCATCATGAATGCTCAAAAAAATTAGCAAGGAAATAAAAGATTTGAGATTTTGGAGCTTAACTAGTGTTTAATGAAATCTAGCTTGACTAATACATCTGCCCCTGACAGACATCTGAATTCCAGCTTTGATCTATTGGCAGTTTGAACTATTTAATAATTGTTTTCTTCAACTGTGTGTTTGTCCCTGTATATATATGTTGTTAAGAATGACTGATAATTGTCTTGGCACCAAAGAGTCCACTTAATATTGAGTATAGAACATTTTCTGCTTTACTACTTACATTATGCACAGTTTTAATGTCACAGTCCATAGTTTTATCTTCCTTTTTTGCATATATTTCCACTTAAAGGTCCCGTGTGTAACTGTCAGGCCAAACAGTCAAGCAATAAGGAGAACAGGGGTTTATTGAAAAATAGGGTCTTTTTCTATTTACCCAAAAATACCAAACAA